TGACCCATCCACGAATGGCGTAAATGTGCCCAAGACATTGCTTTTGCTTGCCTTGATGTGCCTATATTGCTACATTTGTTTTGCAACGTACTGGTAGGGACAGTAAGTCACGCGTTCCGTAAACTTATTGTATATCTCAAAATTAGTATTTGAGCAATTAGTGAACAAAATTACTTTATTGTCAATTATTGAAATAGATAATGATTTAAGATAATGTCATTATTATCATTTAAAGTATTAGAAAATATATTTATATTTTTACAACATGAATTATAATTAAATATTTGTCCAATAAAATGTTATTTTTTTATATAAAATTATTGATATCTATTAAATCTCAAAATTTATAAAATTAGGAATAAAGGATAGTCTACATAGTAGAAATATAATTGTGTCTAATTTTACAAAAGCCTTGAAAATTTGAACTGGAACTCGAATATGACAGTCAACCGTAATAATTTTCATCTCTCTCATTATCCAAAGTAGAAAATAACCTCAAGATTTAAATTTTCTAATCAAAAGGAGAACGCTACTTCCATGAAAACGCGATCAATATTTATATGATAAATGACATTTGATAAGTGTATTTTTGCACACTTATTTAATATCTAAATAAGCTTAAATCCTCTACATATATAAAAGAGGAGGATTTTTACTGTTCAAATTGCATCATGCTGACCTATTGCTAACGTCACACAGCACTAACCAAAATGCCTCTTTTTTTCCCCGACTTTTTCCCTCAAAAACTCAATTATTTGCTTCTTCCTCTCTCTCTCTCTACTACGCCATTTCTCTGTCATTTGAAACCCTAACCAATTTCACAAACGCAAGCTCCATACTCCACCATCTCCCTCTCGACATTTCTCTCACACACACACTTTCCCTTCTCATTTTCTCAAAAATCCCGAGCTCCTTCTTCGCCTCTTAATTTATTTTTTCTTCGGTTCTATTTTCTCACGATTTTTTCAGAATCTTTTCGTTATTTTCCCACGATTTTTTTTTTAAGAATCTTCTTTGGCGCAGAAACCCTAAAAATGGCTTCTATTGTTAAAATTTCCGTTATTACTCTACTGATACATCCCTCTTTTGTTGTCGCACCTACATTTTTTTTCCGTTCGAAAGTCTTCGTTTTATTGATTGTGCATTTTGAACGATGATGGACGGGAATGAGGTTTCTATGAACCCAATTGACAATTTCTTCGGTAAGATCTATAGTTTAGGCTTTATTTTTTGTTGTTGCACAGAAATCGTTCTTTTTCTGTTCGAACATCTTTGTTGTACTGATTGTGTGTTTTAAACGACGATCAACAGGAATGAGGTTGCTAATAAACCCAATCGACAGTTGAAGAAAGAGTTCGACTTAAAGGGCGGAGTTTACGAAAGTCCACAACAAGATCGATTCTTGCCTTCAAAGTCAGCTTTAAAGAGTGATGCACCTCTTAGACATATAGACAAATACACATCATTTTCCCTATCTGTTTCTCTCATTTCAGTACCTAAATTAGCACTAAACTCTCTGAAACTCCTTTCTGTAGTATTATTTTTTTGCCTTTTTTTGTTAATCAAAGCTGATATCTGTGTGATTGTAAATCAAGTGAGGTCATAGCTCCATCCCCAAGATAGTGTTTTCTTATATTTATCCTTGTTGTTTAACTTTCATCTCCTAGAGTTTTTGTTCTTTGCTTGTTACTTAATAAACTGGCTGTGATGTTAAGGACTAATAGACAGATACACTGATTTTTAATTCTCCTTCATTCTTATATTACGTTTGAACTATGCATGTTACATAGGTTAATCTAATTAATCTTTAGTACTTTGGTCCTGGCTCTCATTTGTTTGATTGTCAGGAAGCTTTTTATGGGATATGCATTTGCAGTTGAAAAAACTAAATTGTCACTCTTGTACTTCAATGCTTTCATATGCCCCTTGAAGGCTATGGCAAGCAACCACTTATTGAGTTGGAAAAATGAAGAAAACATTTTTTGATCTTGAGTAGTTACCTTCCATGTAGATTACCAACATATTGAAATGCCGACCACGTTGAAGGGAAGTTAAGGAGATATCATAAGGAGTGCCTCTCTTTAACCAGATTACTCAAAGACCAAAATTCTGGAATAGTATCATTGTGCTTATTGATGAAGCTTTTGGCCAAAAGGTGGTCATAATCCAAATGGAAATAATTTTCACTTTCTTAATCAACTAGGAAATTTCAAACTTGGAATAGGGCCTAGGGGATTGGTTGACTGGTATGTCAGTGAACGCAGCTGTGCAATTGGAGTAAAAAATTGTTATGCTTTATTGCATACACATATTTAGCATTGAATATAAATTTTTTTTTTTGATAGATAATCAGGAAAATTTTATTAATCAAAGAAGAATACACAGGAAGTGTATTATCAATTTAAACAAGAAAGAAAAGATATGAATAAATTGATATTTGACACATTCGAACTGCTGTAAAATTACACCTATCCACATGTTCTATGAAGGGATGTCTAGCCACAATTGCTTATTGTATTTCACTATCAATGTTTCACTATAATATTAACAGGTTGTTTGGAGCTCATTTTTAGACCCAAAAATGAATTTTTCAACCGTTTCGAGCTCAAGTCCAGCCCTTTTTTTTTACTTCCCTTCACACTGGTGGGACCCATTTGGGATTGTAACGGTCTTTTTTTTTTTTTTTCCTGAAAATGAGCTCCAAACAGGAGCTAAAGAGTGACTTTGTTTGTGCACTTTTTATATGGAATTGTGCCAGTTACTATTCAATTTTTTTTTTTTTTTGTGTCTATTCACACAACGGATGGAAAGAAATATTTTCTATCATTTATCAGAATGAAAATTTCCTTCATCCTGTAACGATCATAAAATCATTTTCTTAGTGAAAATTGTCTACACTGCACAAGAATCCTTTTTCTTGTAATTTTGTCGAGGTTCAAGGTATGAGTACCATCTTTTACAATTGTTATTTTATGCATTTTCTAGATTTCGTAGTTTAGTCTTTATTGATGTATCTGAGGTTAGTTGTCAATTTGTTCTATTTCTTTTGAATGTGTTGTATTTTCATAGAGTTCAGGAATATTTTATTTCTGCTTGAATTTCCAGGTTCTAAGTTTTAATTATAATTTAATTGGTAATTAATGGTAATCAGTCACTTAGTTCTCATTTTACAATGATTTAATGCTATGATTGCTTGTATGATAGTTTGTTATGCGACGTGAATTGCAGCCAGTTTATGAAATGTGAACGAGGAAATCTAGACGTGTGGGGTGTGTGTGGCAATGTTAAGAGGTAAGCATCTTCTATTGGAGGCAAAATTCTCATTTTTTTTCTTTGCTTTTTTTTTTTTTTTAATATACTATAAAAAGATTTGACTTTATTTTTTTCTCTATGTCCATCTCAAGAGTATGGTGGACACCAATTAGTTTGCCCTGAATGTTTAGGTTCCACGGAGAATGTTCCAAATTGGGATGGTTTTGAACTTGAAAGAGGTAAGTTTGTATATTTTAGCCATTAAGTTACCTATGTTAACATGAATTTACTGCATGAGCTGTCTTCGCACCTCATTGCTGAAACGCTATTTATGTTTCTTAATATTGATGACGACTCATTTTATTGTAGTTGTCGGCTGTTGTTATGGTGAATCTTCGAGACCTGGGTTTAGTACAACAGAACGAGGAGTCGGTAGTTCGTATGGTATGACTATGAACATAATTGATTTAGAACTGATGAAGTTGTATATTTTCTTTGATTTCCTCACGTCGGGTTTTCCAAATTCTGAAATCTGTGTTCAATATTTAGTTTCTATTTTTTGGTTCAATTTGCCTTTTTAACTTTATTCTGATTTTCGCCTTTTGATATTGTGCGAGGTTTCACTGGTAGCCATCTTTGGGATTTTTCTCCTTATTTTCTACTTTCAACATGTATGACTACTTATATTTTAAACTATGAGTTAATATAGGTAGCTACAAGAGCTCCTTAACATTCAGTTGATGTTCTTTTGATTATTATTCTAGAACGAGTAGAATAATCATCAATCATAGTTAACTAAAATTTATGGAGATAATAATTTAATGTTACAAATCCGAAGTGTCAAATTTGTAACATTAAATACTAAAATTTATGGAGACAATAATTTGTCATTAAAGAGTTTTATGCAGCGTCATCTTACACCATACGTGCACTAAAAAAAAATGAAAACGCCAAAAGTAGAGGCGAATATAAATTTTTTCTTGATGTTTTTATAAATGTTTTCCTAGCAAATGCTTTTTGGGATCTAGAAGATGTGGAACCTTCTTCTTGTTTCCTTGGTTTTTACCGGCATAACGTGGTTACTTCTCGATTGTTTCAGCACCATGGAGTATTGAGTAACTTTGAGTTTTGCAAAATTATAGTGTTGACAGTTGATAAATTCCGAATGATTGTGATCTTTTTGTTCGTTGATGATTTTTTTCTTTTTGTACAGTTGAGGAAGACTTGTTGACGAAAAGCTTATATAGCCTCGAGCAATGGTGGGTTGGCGGCGGAATATGCAGTCTTTAATATATCTGCCAAGAGATTGGAATACAGTGGCAATGGTTCATTTAATGCTTTCTATCACTCCAAGACTTCTCCGAGGCCCGGTAATCCATTAAAGTAACTTTGGAATGTTTAGGGACTACTTTTTGTATGCATTTTAAGTTAAATAAGCTGCTAATATATATCATGTGAGCAGAACCAATTAAATTCTTTTATAGTAGTATTTCGAAATTATAAGCATTTATTAATGTTTCTTCTCTTTACATGGTTGTATTAAAGCTCTAGATTGCAGCCTTTTTAGATTTGGTTTTTGCTTTTGTTGAAAAACATTACGGCTGATGAATTCAATTTCTGATGAATGCAATATATAACATTACGGCTTTTTAGATTTGGTTTTATTAATCTTTCTTCTCTTTACATGGCTCAATATTATGCAGTAGAGCTGTGTTGATATTGGGAAAAAAATGATCTCTTTTCCCAAGATGTCCATAAAATTCGAAGTCAACCATTCTCTCTCCTTGCTACTGAACTCCCCCAAAATTCCCTATCTACATGTAACTCATCTCTTTTTCTTTTTCTATGTCTCTCTTAGATATGCTTTATTTTCTTGTTGTTTGTATTATTTACATTTTAACCGAAGAAGCCCAGTTAAATACACCGGAAAAAAAGGTATTACTGGACTATAGGCTTATGGAGTAAACAAGAATTTTTTTTCTTGTTTTCTTTTGTCGCGGAATGCTGATCTTCTGATTTGAATTATTAGAAGCCCTACTCAGATTCGAGTGTAATTTAATGTTCATTTTGCTTGAAAGATGCATAACACCGTCCTTGAGTTGTTATCTTCTCTAGTTGTGATCTCTATTCACGTTCATTTTGTGGCATTTTAGTTTTCAGGATGATGTAGCTATTGAAACTGTGATTCTTCCGCATAAGTTGCAAATTAACTTTTTATTCTCCCATAAATCACTATTCCAAAAAAAAATTCTCCAAAAAAAATTGACGATGAAGACAGAAGAAATACAAGTCAAGCTAGAATTGTATTCACTATTTCTGTAATTGTAATAGAAGATATGAATGAAACTCTGCTATGGAAACTAACTGTAGTTCGTAAAGCTATCACTATCTATAGTACATCAACAATGAAATTAAAGGATATTTGGACATTCAAGAGGTCCAATTCTCTCCCCAGATACTACCAAATTCTGCTTACTTTCCTCTCTATTTTTGGTCTATTTATAATGGTTCTCTAACTAATTCTCCAGCTACATCTGTTGTGAACTGGGATGTCTATCTTCATATTTTGTAAATAAAGTGAAGTAATGTATGATTGAATTCTCTTTATTTTGTACATTTCTGAGTTACTATTACGTCTGTCATTCATTCCCCATGTCGAAGTAGCCCTCTTTTCGTTTCGTTTGATGTTTATCTATTTCTACTTAATAGAAAATTATAGTTCAGAGCTGAACTTGTTGAGTTGTAACTTTGATTCAAATTTATATATAAACAATGTGGAATATGGAGGATGCCTGCATGTAAGGCTAATATGTTACAAAATTCTCTTTATTTTGTACCTTTCTGAGTTACTATTACGTCTGTCATTCATTCTTCATGTCGAAGTAGCCCTCTTTTCGTTTCGTTTGATGTTTATCCGTTTCTACTTAATAGAAAATTATAGTTCAGAGCTGAACTTGTTGAGTTGTAACTTTGATTCAAATTTATATATAAACAATGTGGAATATGGAGGATGCTTGCATGTAAGGCTAATATGTTACAAAAAAATGCATGGTAGTTAAGCCGTTTCAAATGAATTCTCCAAAAAGAAAGGGAAAAAACAAAAACAAATAGTTTTATCCGACCCATTGATTAAAATCTGTAATCTCAAGGTCTTGTCTCCAGTGTTTATGCAGTGATGGTGTTCTAATACACGTAATTTTTCTTATTTTATTGAGAATCTGGTGACTGATTACTTTGCGGAGGCATCTTTATCTGGTTTTGAGCCACTTATGCAGAAAATACATAGTGAAATTCGTCGAGTGGATGCTGAGAGTTTAGCAGCCGTTCGCCAACGGGTTGGCATTTTTTTCTGTCTCTGATAGCATAATATCATTTACTTGGAGGCAAAGATGGCAGTCTTTCACATATAATTGCAACACTTCACATGTTTCTTCCTTCTCCCTTTTCTATTGAAAAGGACGAAGCAACAATAGAGGCAAATTGAATACAACAATATGTTAAATCCATGATAAAAACAGCGAATGGAAGCATAGCAGTGGTTCAATAAAATTAACGAACTCTTTCCAATCGAAGAGCATAATTTGAAATGAACTGTTTGAAATACTCAATTGCCATAATTTGCAGAGTAATTCAGGAACCAAAGTATGGGAGGATCTTGCTGCGGCCACCAGTGCAGTGCAGGTTTGTTAATTACGTAAGTTGTAGAACTTGATTCGCTGCAGAAATCAGGTTACTAAGTATAAGCATTTTTTTTCTTCCTGCAATTCAAGCGTCTGTAATCTTCATTTTACAAGATTCAACTGTGTCATCAATATAATTTAGGAGAAAAGGTTGAGGTATAACTTCATTATTGTGACCGTCTATTTAAGCATATATTTTACTCAAACCAGTAATTCTTGGTCATTTTCTATGTGTGATCAACTCACCCTAAATTGTTGTAAGAAATTGATTTGGTATGTGTGCATGTGTAATACTGCTGCTGATGGAGAGCCATCAAATAATTGTACAGCAACCTCCATATTTTGCGACTTCGCTAAAATCTCGTAACTTTATCAAATATCATATATAAACACATGCTCTGCAAAATATTGGTAAGTTAAAACTGTTGCAGCTAATGCATAACAAGAGTAAGAAGGTAAGCTCTAATGCGTATAATTTTCATTTTCTCCCTTTTTTTAGTTAGTGATATTTCAATTGGTGTAATTTAAAGGTGTCTGAACATTACTTAAAATAATTTAATGTTATTTTTACCGTTGTTCAATTCTTGAATTACAAAAATTATAACGCTTATCGTGCAACTCACGATCCACACTAGTATTAATTAAATGAGCGAATTTTTACTAACAATTATGTAATTATTGCTTTTGTATGTCATAAACCCAAATGAAAAGAGAATAAGGTAAAAATGAGAGAGAAAATGGATCAAAAGTGAACAAAAACATGCAGATAGGGGCCAAAGTGCACAAGTTAGAAAGTTGGAGGACTTTGGATTGCAAATTTTGGAGGGCAAAATTGGATATAAAGATCAAAATTTGAGAACCAAATTGCACATGATCAAAATTGAGGGACCTATCATGCAATTATATGGAGGACTAAAGCCCGTGCTCGCGCGCAGGCTTAATATGGTGCTCGTGCGGGAATGATGTTTTAATATACTGAGACCAAAATGGTTACATGGTGCGTGGGCGGATGGCCCTTTCGACTGGGCAATTTTGTCTATTTCGCATAAATTTCGGGACTGAATCTACAATTTCACCTAAGACGATTTTTGACCCTTTTAATACCATTTTTTGTTCAATTTTAGGGCAAGATTTATAGGAGAACACTTCAAATGGAGAATAGGCAAGAAGAATTTCTATGTAAAATAAAGTCAAACAAACAATACATTTTGATAAAAAAAATGATTTTTTTTCTTTTTTCTTTTTTTTTTTACTTTTTGGTAATGGAAACAAATTTTATAACCACTTGTGAAAAAATTATCACTTTAATGGACAATTTCCATGTAAAACAAAGCCAAACGAATATAAAATTTTAAAATTTTTCGGGTAGAAAATTATACCAATCAAACACACTTAATTAATAATTCACTGCAAAACAATTTTTAGGCAATTACTTTCCCTGTAAATCATTTTATTTTCCACATTTGCAATCAAACGGACCCTAAGTTTTATTAATGTCAATATTCATTATTTAATGCTTTAATTACTATGGTTATTGTCCATTTATTATTGTGCTTAAATTCTCATGCCAATAGATGATTGAGTTAGGTGATTTGTGCAATTATTTAGAGATTATCGTGTTGACCAAAATAATTAATGTCCTCGGTTGTTTTAGGAGATAGAGATATGCTCAAAACTCTAGGTAACCTATTGAGTATTTTCATTACGATTTAATGCGGTTGGTTGAATTTTTATCAACATTGAGATAGTAAAACTAATCAATTATGGTTAAATTCGCTCGAATGAGGTAATTAACTAAATTTGAAAAATCGGGTCTAACATTTTAGCTTGGTAATTCGCATTTCTGGTTTATTGCGATATTAAAGAAACGACGGTTAAGTGACATCGTAAACCCCATCTCATTTATAATCTGAATTTCCTTCTCTTTCATAATTGTTATTTTAATTGATCTTCAAATTTATTTTCATTTTCGTCTCGTATAAAATCAAATTGTGTGTTTTCAATTGTTAAAATTGAGTCAACAATTGTGTAATTAAAAAAATACTCCTCGAGGGATCGATATTCGGACTCACAAGTCCACTTTATTACTTGAACGCACCTGTGCTTCTTCTTTTCAAATCTGATATCATCGACACTAATTTGGTTGATCAACTCGTAACTCTATCGAATTAGTTCTCATTTTTGCCAAATCAACACAAGTCGGTCCAAGACATAAGAAGCACTTAGAGTATGTTTGATTGATTTCGTTTTCCATGAAAAAAGTCATTTTTTCATCTAATTTCCTACTTTTGGAGTATTTGATTGACAATTTTTTCTATGAAAAATATTTTTTAACTTTTAATTACGCGACCATATTTTTCTCAAAAATAAGGAAAATATTTTCTTTTAAGGAGGAATGAATTTTATTTTTTCATCAATAAAGAATGAAAAAGTTTAATATTTTTTAGGTTCAAAATTAAATCAATCGAGCATATTTAATTAATAATTTTCATATAAATAAGTTCTAAACAATTGAATTGTTTAAAATTTATTTTTATTTTATATAAATTTCATCTTGTAATTAAACATATTCTTATATTATATTTTCAAATAAAATAAGAATAAAATCCCTCAATCTCTCACAGAGTCAGTCACCTTCTTGTTATTGTCGCCTTTCTGCGACCAATTTTCTCAAATCCGACCAAATTTAGCCCCTGTTTGACACCCATTTTTTATCTCATTCTCATTCTCATTTTTCTACAGTACTCATTTCTATCCATACATTTTTCAAATAAAATAATATTACACATAAACCCAAAAATTCTTCTTACTTTTTAACCACACATTCTTTACATCAATCACTATTCAAAAACTCATTCTTCAAAATAATGGGTGTCATTCAAAATAACGGGTGTCAAACGGGCTGTTAATAATACCACTCTGACACTCCATGACCTATCCTATTAACTGTTATTGGACAATGTCATTTATACAATGAATTTTGTTCACAATATGACACGTGTCAAAAAGAAAATTTTGTTGGTTAGGAAGAAAAAATATTTTTTAAACTGTGGAATGATATATTGTCAACAATATTGTAAAAAATATTGTATCTTGATTGATTATTATTTATGAATCTTGACGTCCATTTCACAATTTCCCAGATTTTGCCCTTTCTTTATTGCACCCTGCATCCCTCTGCTATCAACAATTAATATCAATTAACTACTTCATTGTTCTTTCTCTATATACACATATACATACAAATCGTAGTCTGAAATTGAGGGATTTCAAGGCTATGGCGATTGCAGCGGCAGCTGTTATTGTGCCGTTGGGTGTTCTCTTTTTCCTATCTGGGCTCATTGTCAATTTCATTCAGGTTATGCACTCACCAGATTAATTTTACCCCAACCCGATCGACAAGTTTTAAAATTGAATTTTTTTTAAGGTTTCTGACGTGCACATGATTTATTGGAGCTAATTAAACTGTCTTTTCTCTAGCGCTAGCTGGTTTGCTACACGTTTTCTAGGGTTTCTAAGTTTTTTTTTTTAAATTTATCTCGAGTGATTTTCTTGTTATTTTGTTATAAATATATGTTATTCGTGCATGAAGTATTTTTGGATTCGAAGAAATGTGACAAAGTTTATTGGGGGATTTTCAGGCAGTATGTTTTGTGCTAATAAGGCCATTGTCGAAGAACATTTACAGGAGGATAAATAGAGCAGTGGCAGAGCTTTTGTGGCTCGAGCTTGTTTGGCTGGTTGACTGGTGGGCTGGAGTTAAGGTGAAGAAATCTAAGCGTGCCATTGCATATTTGATATTACATCATTTTTGATTGCAGTATAAGCTCATTTCTAATATACTTTCACATCTTTGTAGTCTCCAGTCTCCATTATGTCATGAAGAACAGATTTATATTTGAATGTCTGGATCATAGTAACTGTAATTCCGAATATCCAGGCTCTTAAATGAAGTTGGTTTAAGCTATTTAAGAGTAATAATATAGCTGTTGATTCACCTTGAAAATTTCAATCACTAAATATGGAAATTGTTGCGTTGATCAAGTTATTTTCACCTTTACAGATTTTTTTTCTAGATCCCATGTTATCTGACAATTGATGGGTGCCTTTAGAATCAAGTGCTAAGATTTGTGAAGTTAGATCTAAAGCTTCAAATCCTGTGTACTTAAAAGGTTTATAATGATGTGGCTTGATTTACCAGGCTTAAACATTACTTTGTTGCTTAACAGTGGATGAAATGTATCTTTATTTTTTTTTACTTTCACAAGCACCACGGGATATTTCTGTCTAATTTGTTAAAAGTCTTCTTGAATAACGGCAATAAGCCATATAAGATAGTAATTTATTATTAATTAATGACCACAATTTGTCTTTACCATTACGTCATTTTGGTACTCACAGCTTCAGCCTTTATTTTCTAAGATCTTTTGGTAAAGCCACGGTGTGGTAAATTTAGAAAGCTCCTTGGACCTAAATGCTAGACTGTTCTGAATGAATTTCGTGCTTTTACATTCAATATTATGTGATCATTTTACATTTATTTTGTCTACATGTAAAGAAGCTATTTATTATGTGATTGTGTGCTGTTGTGCTTCTAAATTGTATTTGACAGAGCCAAAATAAGAAGATACTTAACCTATTAGTTCTTCAAAAGAAAAGTTAAACCAAGTAACTATAGTTCATTTGCCACAAATACGGACTTCAAAGTCTTCAAATGTCATTTTTGTCGCAAGTATTGATCTCTTATTGAGAAAATTTAGGATATTTTATTTTGATGTGTCATTTTCTATTAGTTCTAGCATTGTCTAGTTAGAAAAATATCATAGTTAGAAAGGATGTGTTATTGTATGCGTGGGGAAAAAAAAAATCCCCCTTTTAATTTTTAAATTTTTGTCACTTCTTCAGAATCACCTGACAGTCCATCTCTCACTGCAACTCTTCTGATTGCAGATCCAAGTGTACACAGATTCTGAAACCTTTAAATTGATGGGTAAGGCTAAAACTTATGTTTATTGAATTCAATTTTCATCTTTGTACCTGGAAAAGGATAAAGTGCCTTGCTTGTCTTACTCAAGAATTATTGAATTGTGCTGGTGAACTTCTAGGTCAAGAACATGCACTCGTCATATGTAATCATAGAAGCGACATTGATTGGCTTGTAGGATGGGTTTTGGCTCAGGTTGGCAGTCTGATCGTTGCTTCCATGCCGCTCTACATTTACTCATGCATATAAGAAAATTTCCGTATTTCTTATTTATGTTATATATCGAAGAGCACTTTGCTAAAAATGCATCACATGCTTTATCAGTAACTGATGTCATCTAAGTTCCTCAGGTTTATGAATTATGAATCTGTTCAGTTCTTGGTGCGAAAGACTTGAAGTTAGGAAGATTACTATGAAGAAAATAAACAAAAGTAGAAGCAGTATTTATAATCTTCTGTCTTATAGGTTATTCCTGATATTTGTAGAACTTAGAATCTCAATAAAAGTACTATCAGGATTGATAAATTAGTATTTAGAAGGCTTAATAAGGACTGCTCCTGGGTATGAATAAACTTGTGCCGTGTAGTCACAAGTGCCAGTCCGTGGTATTTGATACACGTGGCATGATATTTCTTGTTCTCTGTAACTGCTCGTCAACCGTTGCTTTCATAATGGTCTTTGGCATTTCCCATATACAAAATTCTTAAATAACTACGATGACAACCAATTATAACTTTTGAACTAACTAGGAGTGTTGGATCTAGGAGTACTAGGATTACTGCAGCAAATTTGGTGAGCTGTTTCGATTAAAACTGAATTTATTGTCCTGCATTAGCAATCTAATTTATTTTCAGGAGTGGCGGTTGCAGGGAGGTATTACACGTACTTTTCACATGGTCTACCCATATTGTTTATGACATTAGTTAAAACGGAACAAAATCTTATTTTTGCATGGGTTTTCATTCAAGTTTCCCACTATATAATGCAATTTAGAAATTTTGTACTTTTCCTGTTAGTATATACTACTAAAACCTTGAGGAGTTAAACGAAGGTCATTAGTAGTACAACCCGCAAAATACGAGTTCGTGTATTTCAAAAAAGAACTCCATAAGTTATAAGTTATAACACATGACTCCACAAGATTCTGTACTGTTTACCGATCATAATGAGACAAATATATCGCACGAGACAAATTTGTAAAATTATACTTGTCTTGCCTTGTCTTTGTGGATTAAGTTACAGATAGAGTGGGCGGTGCGTTTCTTGAGGTGAGTGGAATCACTAGTGATTGTTCCACAAGGAAGCAAAATTCGAACATTATCCTTTTTACGATGAAAAAAGTTCACTCTATGCTTTATCATATGATGCTTGCTATGATGCTCGGACTCTTCATTTGTGATGAAGCACACCTGTCTACATGACAAGGGTATGCATGTGGGATCTAGCTTAGATCCTTCAAATAAGAAGATGATATGGAAAGGGGCATATCCCGTGCGTGGAAGGGGTTGAAGCTGATTAAAGAAAATAGTCACTTGAAGAAGACGGAGTGAAATTAGCCCTACTTTCAAAAAACCTGGCTTAAAGACTTTTAGATAAACCTGAGAAACAATTTTAAAGAAATAAATGGTTTTTCTGAAAAACTGGGTTCCAATTTTGGAAGCACTAAAACCAATTTTGTTTTAAGGCCCAAAGACCATTTATTTCCAAGTGAACTCAATTAAGAGAATTAATTAGCCAATTGCACCTTAATGTGCATAGAATATGTAAATATACCCTTAGGCATTGGTATGAGTGATTTAACATGGTCTTTATTGGACTTTATGTAAACATATTTCTTTCTTACACATGGAACTGAATTTGTTAGAAATGGTCATACAGAGTAAAAGTAGAACATTCATTGTGGGATAAAGTGGGTATGGAATGTTTCTTAATTCAGATGCTTGTTCATACAAACACATGTATGGATACGCCAGTAGACATATACAGACAGATGTAAAAAAAAATTGTTTTACTAGCTTTGGAATTGTGCAATATCCTTGCTAATGCTTGATTTGAATTCTGTTTTTAGCATCATCATTTTATGTCAATTCTTCTGATTGGTCCTTCTTTTAATGGCAGCGATCAGGTTGCCTTGGAAGCGCTTTAGCTGTTATGAAAAAATCATCAAAGCTCCTTCCAGTAAGTAGTTTATGTCAATTCTTGTTCAAAAGTGCTAAACGAGCCTTTGCTTTTATCTTAAATTCACCTTCTACCTGTTAAGTTGTTATGAAGTGACTATTTTATTTATTATTTATTTTGGCTTTTTGACTTTTTATTGATCTCTAGATCAGCTTCTTGAACGTTATTACATATCAGCATATAAATTATTGTGTATGACAATGGAGAAATTTTGCTTTACTGATTGATGATTTAAATCCAGAAAACCACGCCAATCTTCAAAATAATGTTTTCTGTATCATTACTAATTTGACTTTATTTCGATAGTCAAGAAATGTTATTGACCAGTTGCCACTGGTTCTTGTAATGAAATAACTTTAAGGTATTGATTGGTTTTTATCAAAGCTGAAGTTTATAAGTATTCAATAACACTGTGAAGGTCGCTGTCAGGGTGACTGACCTTTTAAAGGTATTGGAAATCATATTATGAGATCTAAGTTTTATATTTCTGCCATTGCTGAAAAAGTCTAACAAGTATTCATAGATAGCAGTACTAGACTTAAAAACTCCTGTTGTGTTCTTGTTTCTTTATCATGTTCCTTAATTTGTTCACCCTTCCCTTTTATTTGAGGTATTGAATAAGATATGCATAAACAAGCTTGCTGTTGCATCCAATATATGCAGGTCATAGGATGGTCCATGTGGTTTTCAGAGTATCTCTTTCTTGAAAGAAGCTGGGCAAAGGATGAAACCACTTTAAAGGTATTTTGGAATGATGAAATTTTTTATTGTTCATTATACACGTGGATGTTCATACCAGTCATCTTTGTCTATCTATGATTTGTTTTCCTCTCCAATTTTTTGCTTCTTTAACTGTTTGGGTTAATCTTAATTTGGACTTCGTGGACATCTATTGCAGTCAGGTCTTCAACGGCTAAGGGATTTCCCTCAGCCCTTTTGGCTGGCACTTTTTGTGGAGGGTACACGTTTTACTCAAGCAAAGCTTTTGGCTGCTCAAGAATATGCTACTTCAGCAGGGATGGCAATTCCAAGGAATGTTTTGATTCCTCGAACAAAGGTTTCCAACTGCATCTGCTTCTGTAAACGATAAATTTTCTAGTGCTACTGCTGTTTTATTAGTGTTTATAGAAGTTCTTGGTTTGTTTCTCGTTTTCCCTTTCTATTTTTCAACAATTCTAAATGTGGTGTTTCAATTTATTCTATTGGTATTAACTATTGAACTACCTTTTTGGTAGCATGTCAGTGAGTGCGACTGCGTGAGTCTGATGGACCATGGTATCACCTGTGCCGTAGCTTTTGGACCCAAGAGCTTTGGGTTGTTTTCGTGTTTGAAACAACATAGTCATTTTCATCAGAATATATCTTGCTTGAAATAGAGAGCCTTTCGCTGTTTGTTTCTATTTGCCTTGCTTGTCTTATGGGTTTTCATTTTTTCACCACAGTATCCTGTAATTTGCACATGTCCTTGACCTATTATAGTTCTGTTATTTAGCCCCTGTTTGATGGCCATTATTTGGCCAAAACAATGTTTTCAATAGTGAGTTTTAGGAGAATATGTGGTTAAAAAGTAAGGAAAAATCTTGGATTTACTTGCAGAATATTTTAGTTTGAATATGTGGTTAAAAATAAGTACGTAGAAACAAGGGCTTATTCTTTCAAAATCATTAACTTCTTCCCTTTGACTCTTAACGGAGGCTTGTCATAAACTAACTTTTTGCGCTGGATACGAAGTCGTGAAGTACCGTAACTTTTCCAATACTGCTACTGCTTGATTTCTGCATATGTAGTTATTATACACGAGGATACAATTGCGTTGATCATGCATTGACTTGAGGCTAACCTTTTGTTCTCCAAGGTTGTACATTATTCAATTTGCCCAATAAGATCTGTTGCTTGTTTTCAGGGTTTTGTGACAGCAGTAAGTCATATGCGCACATTTGTTCCGGCCATTTATGATGTAACTGTTTCTCTCCCCAAAACTTCACCCGCACCTACCATGATAAGACTCTTTAAAGGGCAACCTTCTGTGGTAAGTCTGTAAAATCTGATAACTCAGAGCTCTATTGTTAAATCTGTTATAATATGATGGCAATTGAATGTAGCTAGGAGGTAACGCAGGATTGGTTCATTTTCCATTATAAGAAGTTAAATAGGGAATAGGGTAGAGGAAGTTTTTATTTTTTGGAGAACGGGTAGAGAAAGCTTTTATAGTATGTATGTGCATCTTATAAACGAAAAAATAAAACATAGTCAAGTCAGACTGGAAAAGGATATCTTTTTGTGTTCCTTTTGCCATTTCCCCTTTACAGCAACGCAAATGTTACGGGATGGGAATCTGAAGAATTTATCATGTTCAATGTAAGCTAAAATTTGCACTCTATCATGATAGCCTGGTATATATGCGTTGAAGTTATCTAGGACTAGCAAATGTTTTATCTATTTAGGATTGTAATATATTTTGAAAAAGTATTGATTGCTAAATGAAATTACCCATTGTTTTATACCTTGAAGAAGTACCTTTGACAAACTGATCCTCTTTCTAGGATGCTTTTCTTTTTCCCCAATTTTCGGATGTTAATAATTTCCCATTGTGCAGATGCATGTCCACCTCAAGCGACACTTGATGAAGGATTTGCCTGAAACAGATGATGCCGTTGCTCAGTGGTGTAAGGATGCCTTTGTGGCCAAGGTGCACACCTACGATTTCCTAAAGTTTTAATATTTACTTCTTTTGAAACTGTTGACAATTGGAGAAATACTATCTAGATTCTAAAGAATACGAGGAATTTTCTGGTTGCAACATGTAACTTGTGATGATCCCTTTTTCTGTTTGCATTCTTGTGAATTAGGATAAGTTATTGGACAAGCATGTAGCCGAGGATTCCTTTGGTGAACAATTGCAAGACACTGGCCGGCCAGTGAAGTCCCTATTGGTAGATGCATTAAATTAGTACTTGCATGTTTGGCTAAGCATAAAATTTTTATTGGTGAAAGAGATAAGTTGCTTATTTTGACAGTAAATGTTTTAAGCTCAGTCAAACGCGCATCTCACTTTTTGTTTGCATTGGTTGTGTTGAACTAATGGCTTGCCTTTTTGCAATAACAGGTTGTCGTTTCTTGGGCAATTCTACTCGTTTTTGGGGCCCTAAAATTTTTCCAGCGGTTCTCACTTCTCTCCTCGTGGAAAGGTCTCACTTTTTCAGCAGTAGCATTGGCTATTGTCACGATTCTTATGCAAATCTTGATTCAGTTCTCTCAATCAGAGAGGTCGACCCCTGCCGAAGTTGCCCCAGCAAAGCCGAAGAAGGGGAGAGAGACTTCAGGGACTCAAGAACATAAACAGCAGTAAAAGACAGTCAAATGTGTTATGTAGCAAGGTGTTTATTCCTTTGTATTTTTGGCCATAAATGATTAGTGTATGGAAAAATTTGCACATCAGCTAGTTAATTTGTGGCTACAAGAAAAAAAATTGATGCAGTATATCATGTTTACAAGGCTTCATGGACTCCCTCGTCTCAGCTCCGCCCGCTTACAGGGGCAAGTCCCATGTGGCCAAACAAGGGAAGGCCTCTCGGTTAACAAGCTTGCCCAGACTTGACTCGTTGACTAATGGGCCGAGCTTCACTCATTCAAAAAGTCAAACAAAGTTTGGGTGGTGAGGAAGCATGCTACATTACCAGGGCCACCCCCCAACTTACATATCATAGAGGTAGGGATGTCAAAAAAATTCGATACCCGCAGGCCCCGTCCTGAATAGGGCGGGCGGGGCTATCCCGCTTAATTGGGTATTCGAGGCGGAGAATTTTGTCCTGAGACAGGTTCTGGACGGGGACGGGTAACAGGCGTCACGTCCCCGTTGGATTTTTTTATTATTATTTAGAATTCAATACTTTAAATGAAAAAATTCACTAAATTTCATTGGTTCTAATAGAAAATAGTAATTAAAATTATTTGTCTAAATCTAATTAATATGAGCAATAAAAATAAACTATATATATAAAAAATTTTAATGGTTAGTAAACGGGGCAAGGAACCCGTTCCGTCCCGTCTCGCCTTAAACGGGTAATGGGGACCTTAAACGGGTAATGGGGAGGGGACGGGACGGATAATTTCTTACCGGGACGGGGGGCGGGGAGGGCTCCTCGCCTAGCCCCGTTGCCATCCGTGCATAGGGGGTCAGTTGGCATTATCAGGGTCTTGGACGAGTATCTTTTATCCGGGTTGTGAGTTGATAGGTCAATTTGACTTGAACATTAAAGATTAAAAAAAAATTATTGAAAAGACTTCACTATATAAATTTCAAAATTATTTAGCGAAAATACTTTTAAATTCGAGAAATTTAACAAAAAATCTTTTAAAAAGTAGCGAAATGGATTATGAGAATTTTCCTTGCACACGTATACACGCACGCGACAAATACCAAGTTCTTAGCTACATCTACGACTTACAAAATGACTTGCATGGAGTTGAGTTCAACTAAACTAATCATACAATATTTAGGATTGATGGTAGGTTTTGTGCATGGTTATTGAAAGCAATAGAGGCCTATTGAAGTTGGTGGAACTATGTAAAGTAAAGCGACCTTTCGACGGTAGAACTCTTGAAGATCGACGATGGGAAGGGTAAGCTTCCTCATTCTAGTAAAGTGTCAGCTCGATAAAATGGATTAACGTATGCAATAAACATGACCAATGCAGCATGCATGCTTTTTAAGAATCAAAAGACATTCTTAGAGCCTCAATTTAAATTTGACATGTTTTTCGAGACTATCAAAATAAATTAATTAGGCGGTAAGATAATAATACATTTCAAGAGATTCATAATTTTTTTCTTACTTTTTAATCACATATTTCATAAAATAATCATTTTTAACTTGAATGGAAATATTTGCCAAACTTTAATTTTAAAAAAATTCCTGTGACATATACACGCATAGGGCACACACTGAACCCTATACATTATTTCTTCATTAACATACTTGCCCTCGCTTCAAACCCTATCGGAAGGAGCATTGCTACTACAGATTTTGGGGAAAATCAGAAGAAAAACGAAGGAAAATCAGAAAATTTAGCGAGAAATAAGAATGAGTCGGAGTTTGGGGATTCCGGTGAAGCTACTGCACGAAGCGTCGGGGCACGTGGTGACGGTGGAGCTGAAGAGCGGCGAGCTTTACAGAGGCAGCATGGTGGAATGCGAGGATAACTGGAATTGTCAGCTTGAAAACATCACTTACACTGCTAAGGTGTGTATTTTTAAAAAAAATGAAACGTGCTTAATTATTTTGGGATTTTTGTTCATATTTTAAACAATTTCCTGTGCGTTTCAGTATTTACTACATTCTTGGTAGATCTTAAAAGTAATTTTTTTTTTGTTACACACTAGGTAGATCTTAATAATAAAGTTTAGAGTAGAAGATTCTAAGTGAATGATTTATTTTATATGCAAATTGAAGTCATGGTATTATCCTATTTCGATGTCCTTTATATTCTTTCACGTTTACAATTTTCACTGAGTTCTTTTCATTTTCGATTGCTGGTGTTTAACTATTATTTCTTCTTTTGACCATGCCCGTTACGGTTATTCTCATATGCACACTTAATTGTAAAATAAGTTATTTGGATTTTGTTTTTAGTTTAGGTGGTTTATTTATTCTTATAATCAAGGTCAATCTTATACTGTATAATGAAGCAGTGGTGAGTAAATGGTAATGGAAAATGATAATGTCTGTAATTTCTTTCTCATGTTCAACTCTAAATGTCTCTGAACTTTGAATATTAACTATTGGACTTCTTTTAGATTTCCTTATTTCTTTTTTTTAATCTCAACAAGTGAAAGAGAAACACTTGTATTTTTGTAATGAAAACTTCGTATTAGTTTTGATATAATAATGACTTGAGAAAGTTTTATTTCTTCACGTGTTCAATATTGGGATTTAAAAGATGCATAGGTGAACAAAAACGTTTTCTTTTCTTTCTTTTTTTATCATGGTTGAAAGTTTCAATTTTAATTTTGAAAAGATGAAGTATATATAATTTCTTCATCCTTACATGTCCTTGGTTGTATTTACATGTACAGTTCAAGGTTTTCTAAAATTTAAACAATCTCAAGGATTTCATTTCAAGACAAAGAGGAGATGTCACTATTATGACGCAGAGTTTATAAATGGATTCTTAAAAGTGAAGCCTGCTTAAGATCTTACAAGTTTCTAAGAGTATACTTTTGTTTAGTTTGTGTTTTGTTGTCCCTTTTGCATTTAGCTCATTCTTATTTTCACTTTAGTTTTGTGCCTTTGGAATTTCTAATTGTCGTTTTCAAGTGTTGTCTACATGAATTGTAATGAGCTGATGTTTTCAAGTTTATAAAACTAAGTATTATTCATATTAGATAAAATGAAAACGAGTGGTATACTAAAGAGTTGAACTACTAAAATATTTCAAAGTGATTGTTGATGCAAAATCATGAAAACAAATTAGTTTCTAAGTGGTAAGAGTTTTATTTTATTTGTTCTCTTGTGGTTCTTGATAAAAAGAAGAATCTTCTTCAGTTGATTTCTAAGTGGTCGATTCTTTCTGATTGCTAATTTTGTTCAATTTTTTTCAGGATGGGAAGGTCTCACAGCTCGAGCATGTTTTCATTCGTGGAAGCAAAGTCAGGTACCGCGTAAATTTACTGTTAGAAATTGTTTTCTTGCATCATTTTTTTTTTTTACCTTTCAATTTTTTGATCTTTACTAATGCTGATTTTTTATTAGATTCATGGTGATACCAGATATGCTTAAGAATGCTCCAATGTTCAAGCGTTTGGAAGCTAGAATCAAGGTACCATTTTAATCTGCCAGTTTTGTTTTCTTCTTATTTGCTTTTGCTAAGTACTTCCTTGCTGATTCATTTTACTTACACGTTTTGAAGGGCAAGGGTTCTGCACTTGGTGTTGGTCGGGGACGTGCTGTTGCCATGAGAGCTAGAGTAAGTTACTAGCATTGCCGCTCTCCTTCCTTTTGGCACAGTCTGATATCTATTGTCTAAAAATGGTCTGGCAGTTGGGTGCTAAAGCTGAATTTTCCTTGTAACATGAGCATCTCGTACTATTTGTTTACCATATGCCCTAGTGGTATACGAAAGGTCGATTCCTTGTACCGGGCTATTGTAGAGATGTAAATTATGTCATATTGGGTAGTTCTCGATATCAGGCTGTCATAGAGTTGTGAACTGGGTAAAAGCCAGGTTTTGAGGCAGCTGGCTGGCATGCCTACAATAGTCTGGGCTTGTACCCATTGCTCGTCACCACGGTCTGTGCCAAGCTGGCGGGGTATACAATATTTCTTTGATCAAGTACAGGCCCCATCATTGGGTTCCATAGCTGAGTCGGCCAGGGCTGTTCCTAGGCCATGCTTTTCACACCTGCCCAGGGCACATTTTGAAACTCCTGCCTTTGAGTTTAGACGTATTTTCATTTATTAATCACGAGTTCAGCTGTGTCTGTTGGCATCCAACTGTTTTAGTCACGAGAAATAGAAATGAACATGTTACTAAATAACTACTATATGACGAGAACAAGAAGCATAAACATTGCTAAATACCCACAATTGCTTATCAATGTCAATGTATTTACCTGACTCAAGTTTCTTAATTGGCAGGCTCAGGCTGCCGGTCGTGGAGCTGCCCCCGGCAGGGGGGTTGTGCCACCTGTGAGGAGGTGATCACTTTCCTGATTTGGCATCTCATTTGTTCTCCTCTGAAGTATTGTCATCCACTAGTGATATTTAACGTTCCTTGTTTTCTATGGTATAATCATTGGTGCATAATGAATTAGCTTATTTCCGGCAATAACTTGAAATGGTTTTCGGTTGGCTATAATTGCTACTTGTGGCAACTCTTGTGACGTTCCTTAAATTTGTGGAAGCTTTTAATGTCCTCAACCTTGTTCTGTTGTCTTATTGAACTTTTTGGAGGTAAATATCTTGTGAGTATTGCAAGTTTATTGGCTTTGACTTCACTTATTTTGAGTTTTAAGAACCGCAGGTTGCTTTATGGAGACTAGACAGACAGAACAATGGAAACTCAAAATGAGTACTGTATTCACTTATTTTAAGGTTTTTTTTAGTCAGTATTGTAGTTCTCCAAGGAGTAATGATATTCATCCCCAGTGGGGATGAAAACACAGTCTAGGTGGCCTTAAATGGTAGGTTAAATGAAAGGTGAAATTAAATGACTTATTTAATTTCACCTATCATTTAATGCCACATTAACGCGTGTTTTCATCCCCGGTGGGGATGAATTGCATTACTCTTCTCCAAACGGTTCAAATCTTTTCCATTGATATGAAGGATGTCTTTTTATGCAACGTTTGTTGTTGAAAATATGATATAGTTCAATGACTACCGCCATCTTATATGTCCAAAGCTCAATGTGAACTAATTTTAGAGGGTTTTTGATCATCTTTTTTCAAAAATCTTAAATATATACCCCTCTTCAATGATTTCAAAAATTATGAGTGTTTGATGCCCATTTTTTTAAAAAAATACGTTTTGGAATAGTGAGTTGATATAGAGCCCCTTGTTTGACACTTTTTCAAAGAGTAATGCTATTCATCACCACTGGGGATGAAAACACAGTCTAGATAGCGCTAATGTGGCATTAAATGATAGGTGAAATTAAATAAGTCATTTAATTTCACCTTTCATTTCACCTATCATTTACAGTCACCTAAACTGTGTTTTCATCCCCACTGGGGATGAATAACCTTACTCTTTTTCAAAATACATTTTCAACCACACATTCTTCAAAAATATAATATTTTTCATCAAATCAATAATTTTTTCTTACTTTTTAACCACATATTTTTCATTATATCTTTATATAAAATATATTATTTTCTCAATAGTATTCATCAAACATCCACAAAATGTGATTAAAAAATAAGGAAAATTTTTGAATGTGTGTAATATCATTTTAGTAAAAAATGTGGTTGAAAATAAGAAAAAAAAAATGTATTTTTAAAATAATGTGTACCAACCAAGGGCTACATCTTTTTTTCATTAAAAATCAAAATTTAATATTTATCTTCATTTATTATTATTGCTTTTTAAATATTTTTCATTAGTACCCAATATTTCTACTATTTGTGCTCATCTTATGATAAATATCAGTGATGTGTCATATCAATTAATTGGTGTAAACGTTTGAATTTAATTTGTTATTTATCAATTGATTGATATGACATATTATCAGTGGGTAGTTTGTTTGCTACCTAATCAAAGTGTTTTAACATAAATTAAGTACCGTGATTAGGAGATCAAATTCGTTTGTATATAACTTTATGTTTTAGGGTTACCATTCAGCGCCTTCCTCTACAACCGTCATCATTATGCTTGGAATCAAGCTTCCAAACGCTATTGCCATTTTTTAAATTCTACCAAGTCACAACCCAAGTCACAACTCAGGTTACAAGTCACAGTCCAGGTCACAACTCAGGTTACAAGTCACAGTTCAGATCACAACTTAGGATTTTGTTCATAATCACAAGTTATTTTTAAATGATCACAACATAGGTTACAAATTTTTTTTGCACATGGCTTAGATTAATATTTAGTTACAAATTGTCGAATTTTAAGGTCACGGTTAATCCATTATGCGGTCACAATTGGTCACGAAACACAACACAAATTCAAACAACTGCTGTCTGCACAACCACAACCACCTGACCATCGCCCGCATCGCAACAAAAAAGCCTGAACCACACTACCTACAAAAAAAAAAAAACACCGTTATTGGCACACCAAGCAAAAAACCCCCCCAATCCAAAACAAGCAACAAAATATCCCCAAATTACACCGCAACCACAACATCCAGGAAAAATTCCCAAATCCACCACAAACAAACCACCAAAAAATCCCCAAATTCCAAGTTACCACTTCAGATCTGTCAATGTTGGTGCTAGTTAATTCAATTATTTTTTGAATTGGTCAGTTGCAGTATATGCTAGGTTGCAAGGGAAGACTCCGGATCTGTAGTAACGGATGGGCGAAACGACATCGGCTCCGTCACAGCGACAAATATCACACACAGAAGCTGGAAACCATATCTTACCGTTGCATGTGTGCGATTTGTGGCTGCTCCTCCGAGTCACCCGTAGACGAACGATACAACAAAATTTTACCTTTTTCCCCTTTATAATCTTGTCGGCGGGCGATAGTGTGTGAAGTTTGTAGGTATGGTGCCGGTGGGCCAGTGGGCGACGCGATTTATGGATATGGTGGCTGTACTTTCGGTGGGTATGGTAGTGGCGTGGAGAGAAGCCCCTTTCCACGCCGCCATGAGAGAGAGAGAGAGAGACTGGAGAGAGATGAGTAAGAGACGTGAATTAGCTAACTAATTAGAGTTGAATATTAATTTAGGTGTATATATTTTTAGTTTTATAATATTATTATTAATATGTAATTAAATATAAAAAAAATCTGTATCTATATATAAAATATATATTAGTATTTAATTAAATATAAAAAAATCTGGATCTATATATAAAATATCTGATTTTTGAAACTTAAACCTTAAAATCCGATTTTAGAATTTGAATTTTTAAAAGTAGGGGATTGTGTAATTGCCACTAGACTACAACTAATCGGCCACAATTGAAAACTAATGGGCCTCCGCGTCTTCAGCCCAACACTGTATCATCAGCCACCACCCAAACCCTAAACCCTGGCCCCCTCTCCAACCACCCCAACCACAGCCACAGTCACAAATAAACCCTCATTTCTCCTCCTTTCTTCGTTAACCAGAAAACCCTAATAGCTCATCAGAAAAAAGTACACCTTTTCTACTCACCACCATGGCTGACGTTCAAATTTCTCACTCCGAGAAAAAGAAGAAGAAAAACAAAAGCAAAGAATCCGACCCACTTGATAAACTCACTGACCCGACGCTGAATACCAATGAAAAGGATGCCGCTACTGATTTCATGATCAAGCCACAAAGCTATACTCCCTCTATTGATACTTCTCAGTGGCCAATCCTTTTAAAGAATTACGATAAGTTAAATGTACGCACTGGACATTATGTTCCTATTCCCTCCGGTTACTCCCCTTTGAAACGGCCTTTATCTGAATATATTAAGTACGGGGTAATGAATTTGGATAAGCCCGCTAATCCGTCGTCCCATGAAGTTGTGGCATGGATTAAACGTATTTTGCGGGTTGAGAAAACTGGTCATTCGGGCACACTTGATCCGAAGGTTACTGGGAATTTGATTGTGTGTATTGATAGGGCTACACGCTTGGTTAAATCCCAGCAGGGTGCTGGGAAGGAGTATGTGTGTGTTGCTAGGTTGCATTCGAAGGTGCCCGAGGTGGCAAAAGTGTCTCGGGCACTGGAGACACTGACGGGGGCGGTTTTTCAACGTCCTCCTTTGATTTCTGCCGTGAAAAGGCAGTTGAGGATTAGGACTATTTATGAGAGTAAGTTGCTTGAGTACGATGTGGATAGGCATTTGGTTGTGTTTTGGATATCCTGTGAGGCGGGCACTTATGTGAGGACTCTGTGTGTGCATTTGGGGCTTTTGTTGGGTGTGGGAGGGCACATGCAGGAGCTGAGGAGAGTGAGATCGGGTATTATGGGGGAGAAGGATAATATGGTGACGATGCACGATGTGATGGATGCACAGTGGGTTTATGATAATTACAGAGATGAGAGCTATTTGAGGAGGGTGATTATGCCATTGGAGGTTCTTTTGACTAGTTATAAAAGGCTAGTTGTGAAGGACTCTGCGGTGAATGCCATATGTTATGGCGCGAAGTTCATGATCCCAGGGTTGCTGAGGTTTGAGAATGATATCGAGGTTGGAGGGGAAGTGGTGTTGATGACAACTAAAGGAGAGGCAATTGCATTGGGGATTGCAGAGATGACAACTGCAGTGATGGCCACTTGTGATCATGGAGTGGTCGCCAGGATTAAGAGGGTGGTGATGGATAGGGATACGTACCCAAGGAAGTGGGGGTTGGGGCCAAAGGCATCAATGAAAAAGAAGTTGATTGCAGAGGGGAAGTTGGATAAACGTGGGAAACTGAATGAGAATACCCCAGCTGAGTGGTTGAGGAATGTTGTTTTGCCTACTGGAGGCGACTCTATGGTTGCTGGCCTTGCTGCAGAGCCCCAGTCGGCTACTGATGAAGTGAAGGTGGATAGTGCTGTTATTGAGGGTGAGAAGAAAAAGAAGAAGAAGAAACATAAAGAAATTGATGGAGATGAGGGGCGGAAGCGCAAGCTAGATGAGATGGATGGTAGCCCTGTGCCAGATGCAGCTGCTAAGAAAGCAAAGATCTCCTCAGAAGTCCAGGATGAGACTGTGGAATTGGAAGTTGAGAAGAAAGAGAAGAAAAAGAAAAAGAAGAAAGAGGGGGTCGACATAGGTGTAGGTTCTGATGGTGAAAAATCAAAGAAGGATAAGAAGAAGGATAAAGTGAAGGAAGATGTTGGGGCATCAGATGAGGAGAAGTCTGAGAAAAAGAAGAAAAAGAAGAAGCACAAGGACTCAGAGAATGGTGACTCCTTGGTTTTACCTGAACCTGATCATGAAGCAAATAAAAGTGAAAAGAAGAAAAAGAAGCACAAAGACGCAGAACAGTAGATTTGAGGGCCCAAGTCTCGGTTTCACTCAAGGAATGGTGTTGTCGTGTGAGACTATATCATCTACATTAGAGTGTGTTTTATCCTTTCGGCTTGTAATTTAGCTCCATTACTCACCAACCTTGAGCTCTGAACAATCGACCCATTACATTTGTATGGTAGCTCTAGCAAGTTTTGCTGGTTAGTTATTTAATGGCTGCAATGTTTTTCCTTACATAAATTGCGAGAAACTTAAGTTTGGTTTTCATAAAACTCTTCCGTCTATTATTTGCCAAATCTTTTTAGCACATGCATTTAGATTAGTAAATTCCTGAAAAATACATGCTGATGAACTGATTCCAAATTTCTTAGGAACAATGCTTATTAGTATGTTGTAGATGATAGGATCGAGTATTTTTTTTCCTTCTTTTAATAAAACTGGTGGAATACCTCTTTTACAGGGTCTGCTTGGAATGCAAGTATTTGTATGCGCTTAGTCATTAAAACATTGCTTTAACCTTTAAGAGGGCAATATCGGTATACTAAATACTAATGTGTTAATTCAGAGTCATAATTCATGAAAGTATTAGAATGTTATATTTGCTCATATAGTTCTGTCTGGATTGGTTAGCATCTCCACATTTTTTGTATCTCATTGAACTAGAAATTGGATTTGCATAAGGGTGGGAATTGTAGAGCTAAGTCAAGATTCTAAAACCTTTTCTAGTTCTAGTTTTACTGATGTCCCTTTTATGTATATATATATATATAATATATATATATATAAAATATTTGTATCAACATATGAATGTTGCTATGCCAATAGACAGAACTGAATATAGATGTTAAATACTGATATTTTTCTTGATTTGATCTGTTTAAATCCATCAAACGTCCAATAATTCTTCTTATGCAAAGAATTCAATACAGAATACAAGCAGCCTTAAGCAAATGAATTAAAAAAAAAAAAAAAAAAATTGGAAAACATGAAACAGAGATTATAAATCGAACATCTCACAAAAAACCATTNAACCACACTTAAAATGAAATGTCTGAAATGTATTTCCTTATATAATAATATGCAATCTAAGAACTAGAACCTTTTTGCAGATTTTGCACATTCATCAGGCTATTTGTCAACCAGATTGCTGTTTCTCTTGATGAGATGGCATCTTCACTGAACGGTTTCAACACGCCTGCGAGCTCAACGAGCTTGTCCTGCTTAAGTAAACGTGCACATACTTCAAGCAAAGACTCTAAAGCATCAGCTCTCTGTTGGCTCGGGTTTTCCCACTCACCCTTGTTTTCATCGGTAGCAATTCCGACTAATGCACTTATCAATGATTCTTCTTCAGTAGATGCATGATTTATCACTTGCACGTCATCTTCCTGGATTTGCACTAGGTCATTTTTGGTATCTGCTGTAACTTTCACCTCGTCCGTACTTTCAATCAATGCGTTGTCTAAACGTACTCCTGAACAATCACCGGTGCTTTCTTCTTCGTTCAAATAGTTTCTTGGTTCTGCATCAGCTTCACATCTTGCAGTTTTACTGTTTTTCACAGAAACAAAATCCTCAACGTTAGTTTCTGTTTCCTCATTTACCCCGGGACTGGGTAGAGCCTCCAATTGTGGAACGTGCTTTTGAGGAGATTCTTCTCCCTCTTTTAGCTGTGCATTCGATGGAAACGTCAAAATATCCATAGTGCTGCTGCATTCTTTTTGTGATGAAGATTCAATGTTGTCCTGATTGTCTCCATCGCAAGCAGTCGTCTCACAACTTGTTTTCTCACTTTTCGAGTCTTCACTGTCAGAAGATATTTTACCTGAATAGCTCGTGGGATCGACCCTCTTCGTCTCAAGTTCATCTCCTATTGAGTTATCCCCTTCCAGTAGCCTTCGACGTTGCATATCAGCAGTTTCCTCATACGCTGGAAGCAGTCTCCTCTCTGTTAGTTTTACCTCCCTTTCTTTGTCGTCTTTTCCACTGCCAGATTTGCAGGGAGAAGGTCTTCTAATTTTCTCCTTCGAGTTGTTAGGAGACTTCACAGGAAGAAAGACAGTAGATGGGCCGTGACACTGAAGGAGAAATGGCTGCAAATGCGCGTTCCTTAACAGCTCCGCAGCCTGTATATTTGAGATATATGGAAATTATGATTTATAATTTCTCTGCTTGTGAGTAGAGGTGTACACTAGACCATGCCCAGTTTGGAAGTGACCCGGGATGCAGCCTGTGTTGGCCTTTACAGCTGAACCCAGCAGAGACCGGCCAGCCCCAGTCTATGGTTCTCACCGCCAGGCACCCCAACCTGCGCAGCCTGGCATGTTTGACACCTCTACCTGGGGAAAGGAAAAAAAAGCTCGAACTCACTGTTGGCCTGCGTTCTGGACTTTTCCGTAGCATGCTCTTAATGATCTGTTTCCTGACATATTTAAACCGATTTAATGTCGAATAATAAGTATAGCTACATCGTTAAGAGAGAAATTTATGGGCTAATACGGAGTAAGAGATGAAATGGAGAAGACTTACAGAGTGGAGGAGTACACAATAGGAAGTGGAGAAATGGAAGATCTGTTTATTTTGTTTACGAGTCCATCCATATCCTGTTTGATTCAGTTGTTCTAATTATGGCATCAAACTACATTGTGGAGCAATGATATACTAATTCCAGCTAAAAGTCGAACTTACAGGAGCTCTAAAAGGTGGTTGGTGTGCAGCAATCTCGAACAAACAGCAGCCTGAAATTTTCTCTAAAGACGTTAGTTCTGTTTTCGTATTTAAAGCATGGCAATGTGAACTTAGGAATTCTTGGATTCTAATTTTTACCAAGAGACCATATGTCCGATTTGTAGCCATACGGTATATCTGCAAGAAGCTCCGGGCACATGTACTTGGGAGTTCCAACGACCTAGTTTGATATATAGAAAGTATCAGCTAAAGTGTGCATCTCGAAAGCAAATTCCTATTCACGAGAAAGGAAAACAGGCAAAGCACACTCAAATTCATAACAGTTCACCCTAAACACCTATACCCTGATTGAAGCAATATTGGGGGTCCAAGAAAAGTGTACAGTATGATTAGGCTTCACACACTTTTAACAATTCCTCGATTGAAGCAAGAAAAGAACCCAATCGTTTACCAACAACCATCATCCTAAGTATCTTGCAAGAGGTAGAAAACGAAAGGTATCAAACCACCAAGGACAGTATGAGCATGCCTGATACTTTCCTCGAATTATTCTTTACAAAAGTGAAAGTCAGATTTGGTCTCTGTATCTACTCTTAGCTCTCTCATTGTGCTGAGGCTAGTTTAAGTTATAGTAGAATATGACCTTTTAGAGTTAATAAATGCTTACCGAGGAGGCAAGGCCTTCCGCATTGAGAAGTTTCGCCAATCCAAAATCACCTGTGAGTTCCATTAAGAGAATAAACAGAGAATTAGAAACACAAGTAAAGAGCAAGCAGAATCAAAGCATTTTCATTGGCCTTACCAAGACGAATGTCATTGTCCTTTGTGATGAATATGTTAGACAACTGGAACCATATAAACCCGTATTTAGAAAAGATCGAGTCAAAATCACATCTTTGTAGTACCAAATGACTGAAGATCAAACCTTCAAATCTCTATGGAGGACTCGGTTGGAATGCAGGTAGTCCACAGCTAATAACAACTGAGTTAACCACTTGCAAAGATTCTGTAAAGCAAACAGAAATAACAGTTCATGCCAAATGCAAGTAAGGGGTATTTCAATTACATCAGATTACCTCCTCTGGAAAAAATGCTCCTCTACTCTTCCTTGAGATCTCAGCCCTGAACATCGCAGGATAAAAGGTAAATCACCATCCTCGGATTCAATTATTTGAAAACAGTGTTCTGTATTCATTTCTTTAACTTTCCCTTTTTCCCCCCACATATAAGGGTTCGTTTGGCATGGCTTTTGAAAAGCCAAAAGTTGCTTTTGAGACTCAGAAACTGCTTAACCTATTTGACTATGCTTTGTTTGGTTAGAAGAACTTTTAGATAAAACCGGCCAAAAGTGGATTCCTCATGAAACTTTTCTACAAAAAACAGAAGCCATCCCGAACATGCCTTAAGTTGAAGCATTCACTGAATCACAAGGTACTCGAGTCCTTGAGTCATTGACAAATTATGTCATTTATGGACTACAGCATTTCACTGCATCTTCAAGTTTCATAATACTATTTGGAAGTGTCGTATTGGCCACAGGAGTGCGTGAACACATTTGGGGTGGGTGCGGGAGCAAGCATCTACAAGTTATCTACTTATCTTGAGTTAAGAACGAGCACTTACATGTCTCCGCCTTCACAATAACTTGTTACAATGCATATACAGCATCCCTGTAAAATAGTTGAAATTAAATGTACTTTAGGAGTAAGCTTCAGCTAAAGAAACTTTTGTACATCCTAGAGTTATATCTGTAGCTTGCTACATACCTTGTCGACCCAAGCATCTTTATATTCGACAATATATGGATGGTGTAGTTTCGAAATTAAATTCATCTGCAACAGAGAAATAAAATAAGATGGTTATCTGTAAATCTACCAAAAGAATGTAATGATGATATATGATCATGATGGTTAGACGATCTTTATGGCTAAAAAGATACCTCCTGGTGAGCGATTCGCTTGAACTTCTCCGTTTGCTTAGCCAAACTAATCTTCTTTAAAACGTACCTGTCAGAGATACGACAATGGAAACTCAGTCTAAAATAACATTTTCAACTTCCATAACAAATTAACAATTTTAGCATGTGAGAGCTCTTAAAGGAGTCATTAACAGCATGCTCAACAACAAGATTTGCATGTATTTGGGGCCAACTACGTGAATCCTTTTTCATTACGACGCCCTAACAAAACGTGTATTAGAAAGTCTACTCATTTCTACCAATGTATATTTATACCTAAAGAACTTTAGGACCCTACAATGTTTTGGAAATAAATACACACTCTTTTTATGCATATAAAAAACTTTTGAAGAGAAATGCTTACTTTTTTTTCTCAGTTTTGTGAAGAACAAGAAATGCTGCTCCAAAAGCACCTCTCCCAATCTGCTCAATTACTTCATAATCTCCCATTTTAGATTTGTTATCACCATTCTCTATCTCCATTAGGCCCGTCAAATTTAAAAATTTCAGCTAAAAAATTCAATCTTCATGCAAAACTTGCTCCAATTGAGCAAGAAACTTCAAACCCTGCTGTATATTTCCTGTAAGCAACCAAAAATAGCAAAGCTTGAAATTGTTTAAGTAAATTATAGCCTTCTTTTCAGGGAGGCCCTTAAATAAAGTGTTGGGGTTGGGTAGGGTGAGGGGGTGAGGGTGGGAGTGGGAGTGGTGACGCTCAAGTAAAGAGACAAGGGAAGCACATTATATAGTAGATATTATTCCATAAGCGAGGCTTAAGTAAAGCTAAAAAAGCACTGATTTTGATGTGGGAAAAGGTTTATTTACCTATAGAAGGTAAAACCTGAATAAGAGGAAGAAACGCAGAGGGGCCAAGTAAAGGTACATTTCAGTTTTCAAATAATTAATTAAGCAGAAAAGTTGATTAATCTTTAAAATAAGCAATTTTTTTTTGAGGTGTTAAAGGTAGCAGGCATGGAGGAGCAAATAGAAGGGGGGTCCAAGAAGAACTTTGCTTGTATATACAGAATGATGAAGGAATGTTTTCTAAGGCTAAAGTTATAATGTCATAATCCTTATCGATGCTATTCATTAACCTCTAAAATTTATCTTGGAAGCAATTCTCGAAAGAGATAAGATTCTCAAACATTCAATCAATTCACTTTCAAAACCCTCAAATATTAGCTTAAATCACATGATATTAAAGTTGATAAAAATTGCTTATAAAAATTATATGTAGCACTTATTCCCACACGCGAGGAAACTTATCGAAAAGAGGCGTTTTTAAGCACCCGTCCATACGATACGACATGAAAAATCAAGTTTTAAGTTAATAAGCCGGCTTTTAGTTTGTAAAAACTTGTCAGCACTTCGGAGGATGTTTCTCATTAAAAATTTATTCCTGTCCAATATAGTTGAGCTTGAGAGTTTGGTCTTGCATCAAATCGTTGAGGTGAAATATCAGTTTGGCCACCTAAACAATTGATTTCCCTAAAACTTATTGTTTTTTTTTTTTGGTCTACAATCAAATGACAATTTAATCCCTGTCGGTAAATAGATGATTAGACATATTAATGAAATGATTATTATTATTTTTTCAGCAACTTAAATTTTGGTGTCACAAGAAGGATCAAAATTTTGATTATTTCTTTTCAGTAACTTAAATTTTATTGCATAATTCATCACTCTGTCTATCATACTTTGGACTCCTACGTGAGTGTACACGAATTTGTTGACAAAATAAACAATAATAATAAAAGAACCTTGCTACACTTACACGTCTTAGTATACAACCCTTTCACATGTGTGTGAGATTCACAATGTCCACCAAGTATGTACAAGTAGCATTTTTGATAATAAAATGCTTATGCCGAAGGCATTTTTGCTACAATTTATAAATAACACACAAGTTTCAATGCCAGCTGCAACATTTAGATGGAGAATGGGATGAACCGAAAAGCCCGGTTTATGAGCCCTTTTTCGATTCTCTCACACAATTTCATGAGAAGCAAGCTCAACATGAAACATATTAGGTTGTCCTAATATTCATGCTAATTGCTACATAAAGGACATTTTAGGAACTAGGTTTGAGCGAGTGCGAAAAACATTGTGGTATTCTTTTCCATTTATATATATAAAAAAAGACCCATAATGGCAAATGGAAGTTATTGAACCGCTATAAATCTGTGTTAGCTTTGCTAGATTTTGGTTTTCATTATGTCTGCTGTTCCACAGTTCCAGAATATGAGAAATATATAACTAGCTATCTATTTTTGGGTCCAATCAAAACATTTAGAGCCTCTAAAGTTCGTTTCAGGCTCTTCAATATCAGCCTCGACGATTTGTAACAGACAAGTGCGTTGTTCATATGACAAAGAATATCTAATTTATCAAAATCCCAAAAAAAAAAAAATTAACCTTCCTGTACATTGCTCGGAAAAATGTCTACAAATTATGGATGAAATCCCCTGCAAGGTCTCAAGCAATAAAGCACGACACCTCGTCTGAACCAACACATGTTGGATTATTCCAATTGAATGATCCAACACTCATTGCCTCAAAGTCGAGAACGCTCGCCCTTGGAGTAATTTAATAAAGCAATAAGGCCCCGTTTGATTGGCAAAAT